ACATGAGTTTGTTTCTATTCTTCCTGTAATCCACAGATATCTGTGGAAGTGCAGTCACACTCGAGGGTTCATGTTTTGAATTAACCAATATCTTTTTTTGCATTTGTTACCTGCAGTCAAACATAAGTGCTCTCACTTTTGTTGAAAAACAATAGCCATGTGGTACATGATCTAAAATTATAAGTTATATTTCAGATCTCTTATTGCATTGTAATTGCCTTCAGTAGCCTATTTTAATAATATCTGTGCAGTCTGTTTGTGGATTTCTGCTAGATCTAACTTATGTTTGGTTCAACGATAATCTAGTATTTACCAGAATTTTGTTTACCTTTTTAAGTTAATCTCTTTTTCTGTTCATGTATGAATTTGCCACCAGCACCCAGTCATCAGGCCACTGTAGAATTCCATGAGTACGGTACCGTATAGATTTAAAAACCCCTTTCGGAACCTGATTCCAATAATATTGTTTGTTATTAATGTCTTCCGAATGAGGTACTACCCCCAAAACAATGGCCCTTACTGCAGCTGACAAGCGAGGTTTCTTAGCCCGTTCATCCATAGTTACCTCATAATGCTATGGTTTATCACTCTGATATCTAATAAAACGCGGTTGACATGGTTACCCCGCCTGTTGTGACTGGAGTCGCTTGCTTCCTTCGTTATGAACGAGACTCGGATATTCGGGTCGCCTGAATATATTCTATTTCCGTATTCTCTTAGTATTTAATGTTCGTCTTTTTATTCCTTTATAAAATTTGATGTTAGACTTCCTTGTAGGTGACGCTGCTCGATAACCATTACTGGTTTATCGCGTCTTCCTTCACACTAAAATGCATTTTTTTCTTTTTTTACTTAATCCTATTCGTATAATGTGTATTTTCGGCATGTGTAAAAATAAACTACTGATACTGATACTGATTACGATCGCCCGAAATGGCATCTGCGCCGCCGATAACGAACTCGCTAAATCCGGCGATCTCTCTCCTATCGTGATCGTTGTGACGAGAAAACGAGAGAAATAGCTTGCTCGATTTCGGGTGATCGTCTGCGCGTTTTGTACGACCATCCTCATATTTTGGTCTTATTCATTTATATTTGGCCTTATTCATATACACCTCAATGGCCTTATTACGCCACTGTGACGTCGAAAGAACGTAATTTTTCGGTGACGTAGTTAGATGGGGGTTAGGGATGACATATGAAAAAATTGTTGAGCCAGGCCAACTAGAAGTGCATGTGGTACTAAACTATACCAAATCCAATGCGGGTTTATTCTATGTATGACTTTCGTATCGGTTTCAGACTAGACAAGGACTGTTTCTCTTTCGATTGCGAAGCTTTGGCAATCTATATTGTGGTGTTCCTCAATCCTTTATGGTTCATGGCCCTTTTTCCGGGAGCTTTTACCACCCATGGGCCTCCTGTTCGCGATTGCATAAGACTTTACAACTTTTTATGATATGCAAAAACAAATTAATGGCTAAAAAGAAGAATTTGTGGAGAACGGAGGAATTCATATTGGTATTTTGATTGGCAGATTTCTTATCTCATTATGATCAAACAATCCACGCAGAAGAAAGTGAAAACCGCTCTGTGATTGGAAATAACTTTTTCGGGTAATGAAACTATGGAGAAAAGGATTCACCGTAATTTGGTTCTTGGTGGTGTGGTCCTCTTGGGGTCGCGGGCCTCCGGTTGGTAAACACTGCTATAGTGAGTGCGTTGGAATGGGCGAAGAATAACTACGGAGAGAATATATTTATTATCTCGGATTGTATATATGTCATTCACGTGTCGTTCATTATATACAGTGACCAAGCAGCTCATTACAAGATCAGCTTCCCCTCGATTGAAAACAGCATCAAGACTTTGACGTGGTTACCACGATTGATGGACATACTTTTATCTCCACTTCAGACGGGAAATTGGCGTTTAAATAAGCATGCGCCTCTAAAAAATAAGATGTCATTATAGGCACAATAGTCCCTTATACTATTTGTTGATTGTTTCGTGGACGACAGTTTATCGTCGTCTGTTGTTAAACGACGAACCGCCACGGTAGCGCCTGCACCAGTTCCCCAAATCTTTATCGAACTTTTTAACGAGATGATCTTTTATTATCAGCTTGCAGCTTACGATCGCAGTACGTGGATCCAATTATCCCTTTATTTGGGTTACCATATTTGAAAAAGCAAAATTCCGGACAGTGCATGACTATTTATATGCGCTACTAAAATGCTAGGGCTGCAAACGTTGTACAATACTCATGCTAAAGCGCCAGCTACCGAAATGAAAAGTATTGTCTTCAGTCACAAGCAGAATCTCACACCAGACAGCTAAGTACTCTCTAAATATAGCTACGGACCGTCACTGAAAAAATCTCAACTTCAGAGTAAAACATAATAATGAGAATCAGGTTGTGCCAAAAAAGAAGAACAACAATTACATGCTAAAGAATCAAATTAAAAACACGCTTGTAAGTCAAGTCACTACAAATTTACTCTTCTGACCATGCATAATTTCCTGAAAATCTAATTCTCTTCAATGGAACTTCCCCGAGCATTGACTTCATTACTTATCGATTTTAATCGGTAAGTATGTTGATAGGTATTTGTCTGTCTGTATGTCTGTTAGATGCACGCGATATCTCACGGAAGCGAGATTGAATCTGCTCCATGTGCATTCATCTTATCTCGGACCAGAAGCCTATTGATTTTGGGCGAATTATGTCGTATAATTAGCGAGTTAATAATTAATTAGTGATGGGACACAAGGTGTCACTATGGAGTGATAGCGCTGTTTTGGGGGATCCCCTAACTTTCGATCGATAAGTCTTCGGTCCCTGGCCGATATTCTCGTTGTTTACTTCGTGACTTTTTCTCACTCAGACAGATTTTCAAGCGTGGTCGTAAACATAACCTCGTTTTCGCGTTTTTGAACTCTATTCGTTAGTTTTCAGTTGTGTTTCGGAAGCTTAAATTTAAATCAGATAATTCAATGATCACTCTGTCTTCATAGGAGTTTTAATTTAATTGCAGTAATAAAAATTAGTGTAGAAATAGCTGTGATAGACTAGGCTAAAATTCTTTACCGTTACTTTTAAAAAACAGATTGTTATATGCGATGAATCATAATGATGGTTTAAAACACATACCACATTTTACAGGCGCCAACTCGCAAAAGCACTCTTAAAATAACCCCGAAAATTTTGCAATGGTAAAGTATAGGAAAAAAATTTCGGGGGTCAAAGGCCCATAGGGCCTTGTCTGATTTCAAAAATGAAAAGAATTCATTACAGCGCATATCTTTGAAATTATATTGAAGAGTCAATTTCATAGTTGCAACGCACAACTTGTTTCTTTCTTCAGTCCACTGACTTTGCATCAGTGAAAAGACTCTCTCAACATTGGCATTGTGGGATGTAACAGCAAAGAAAAACTGTACAATCCTTAAAATTGCTGAGTGGCATGTGATGTTCGTAGGCTGATCGAAATATTCGCACTATGTCTTATGCGTTTGCAGTTTAATAAATTCTTCGTCCTGGAAATAACTTTCCACAAACTGCTTCAAGTTACAGATTTGATCAAAGCACTTGCATCGTCCACATCAACCCCTTTACCAATCAGATATTCCAGGCAAAGCTTTACATCAGAGGTTTTCAACCTGGGTTTCGCGAAGCCTCAGGGGTTCACGAGAAGATTTCCAGGGGTACTTGGATGGCAGTCGAGTTTTTGTGTGTGTTTTTTATTTTCCATATACTTTAACAAAGGAAAACTAAGTAACTACAAGATGAAAACGCATGCCAAATGAAACTCAGCGTAGATTTCCCCTGATCTAGCGTTGTTGTGATTGTGACGCAACAATGTGAATTGCACAGCTTTTCAGCCAAACTGTGAAATCTCAAAAGACAATGTGATGCGAGCATTGAAAAAAGTGACATGCATCGAAACTTGAGAGATCCAGAAGGTCCAGAAAGTTACCTACACTTGCAATGTTCTAGTAATTTTCGCAGCATGTGATCTATATCTAACCAATTCGGATTCAGCACAACGGTCAATAAGTTCATTAAAGTTCTAAGTGATAAACATCATTGATAAGTAAAACGCTCTGTTACATCATAATAAGTTGAAATAAACTTATACTTCTTATAATTTCATACAACCTCGTAGTAAAAAATATGTGCACGGTACAAAATAACAATGTTCTGTATGCGCAGTGTGCACAGTACGATTGCAGATGCAGTAAAATCCCGGACATTTGAGCATTTTTTAAAATTCTTTTCTGACGCAAAATTTAACCCTAAATTCCTGACGGTATGGCAAGTGGCAACCCTGCCCTTTATCATAATATTGGTCTTCGTGATTTAAGTAATATGTCAGAGACTGTGGAACTTTTTCCAATGAACCTCCGTGCATATAACAATGGAAGACAAATATTATAGTTGGAGTGCCGCGAGTTCACCAGGAGAGTACTATAGGCTTATTGAAAGTCGATTTTAAATTGTCAGGCGTAAAAGACTTGAATCGTTAAACACACCCGCTAACTGTTGATTTTGGCTGTTGTAGAAAGCTGAATAAAATATCGTGTCTAATGTCACTCCCCACATTTCCACTATTCGTGCGAGTCTCAGTAAATCGCGCAAGATTTAGGCTTCTCTATGCGCAGAGCTAAGTAATATGCCGAGAGTCCCACGTAGCTTTTATAGAACACACAGAAACATTTGCGCCATCTGTCTACTGACTCCCTCCCTCTTCCGATACTTTGGAACAGGTACTCGATGGTGGCATTGTATAGCAATGACTTGCCTTATCGTCCAAATACAACGGACAAAACGTATGGGATAAACAACTCTAGTCGGTCTCGGTCCTTCAATGAGCGCCAAACATTTTGCTCCACAGGGGCGTTTAGTAAACCGGAATGCCGGCAGGCGGTTGTTCACACATTTGGCACTTTTCCTTCCACCTGCCCCCTCGTACATTTAAACCAAGAATACATAGTGATTAGTGAAGGTAAAGTTTATTTACTAGAAAAAAAATAAAACATACATCTTGAGGAAACACCAGAAAATGAATATGGTTAAAGAATTACGTGATAGCACCATGATAGTGGAAGACGTCATGACCATTACAAGGTTCGGTCTTTGGGAAAAAAAGCAGTGCAAAGAAAGTATATATAACATCATATATAGGCAGTGACATACACAGCCCGTGCTATAACTCAAAAGGTTAGTTTCACCAGCAAATATTAGCTTCTGAAGCCATTGTAACATGTATTATCAATTTCCTAGCTTCCAATAGATGGATAAATTTATATGGCCAAATATTCTAATGATTGGAGCTTAGACAATGATAGGCATATTTGCCCAACAGCACTTCATGCTGTGATCTTGGGCGTAAAATATGAATAAACCACATATGAAATGATTAAACACCTTACATTGCGACTAAAGACATTTAACAATTGTATTAATATTGTGAATATGAAGCACTGAGTTGTTGCTTTTAGCATATTCCATAGCAAGAATCAAGATCTATATGACTATCACTAAATTATGTAGCCAATGCTAAAATATTATTATTTCACTGAGATAAAAATTAATATTTGTGAAATATTGAGGTACAGATTATCACCTATTACTTTTCCATGCGATTGGTAAAAGATTTCTGTTTAAATTTTTTTTAAATATCTTAAGAACAACAAGAAATCATGAAATAAAAATGGGACAATTTTAAGAACACCACAAATCCAAAAATCGAGAATTTTCACAACTATATGATGTGTAGATATAATGAAATTGTAAGCAAAATTCCACTGAAAATAATAATTATTTTGATATTCGTGATAAGATATCAAGTAAAGAACGTGAGCATTTCACACATTGAAAGTCTAGCTTCAGCAATGTTTTGAACTGTTAATAAAAATTATATTTTGGACTCTTCACAACTGCACTGTTATAATCTTAATAATTTGAGAACCAAGTTTCCTTCACTGTAGATTTACCACAGTGTAAGTGCTGATAACTTTTAAAGTAATCAAAAAATAATTAGTAAAAATCTTGATTCTCACAGATAGGATGACATATAATATAACAAATTACTAGATATTTATTAAGTATATTTTAGTGCATTGTGATTGCTTCATGGAAGGTGTAAGAAAAATAAAGGATGCATTTCATGATTTTTCATCATCTATTTGTAGAGTTTTCAGAAATCGGTTTATAGTTCGTTTGTGTATCTGGATTAATAACTACAGGCTGGAACATGCTCGTGCCACCGCGATTGTAAAAACTTTGACCTCCCAGTGCTGTCTTCCCGTCGCTAGAGACATAAAGTCGAAGGCCATCTTCTTCTTAAATAATAAATATTGAGAAAAACATTAGTATATATTATGAACTTGGGGTAATTAACAGAGTGAACAATTTTAAATATATAGAAGTTTGTAATGCCAATATGCCATATTTCAATTACCGCTTTGTTGCCACAATTTAAATTTATTTTTTTAAATCCAAAGCAGCAAATACATTCAGATTCAAGAATATTAGTTGGTAAGTACAAATACATACCATCTGCGCTAGTGTTGTGTGTAAAATCCTGATCTTCCATCAATTTGTTTATAATATCATCAGCACTAACTCGCGTTACACCCATCCTGTCTTGTGATATGTCCAACGGATGATAAAGAGAACTTCTACGAACAAATAAAAAAATGTCCATTAAATATAATCCACTTTGTTAAATATGGTATATTCCAAATACAGATATACAAAAATACTGTATTTAGAAATGTAGATACTTGAAATTGATAAAATACTTTTTTAAATGGTTTGCAATTATTACCTAGTAACTATGATTCATCTCAAATGCAACAATCACAGAAGTGCTACTTACTTTGGAGGTGGAGGTCTTGGTGGGGCAGTTTTTACAAAATTACTACTATCTGTAGTTGAGGCATCTGTTTTAGTCTTAGAAGGGCTTAATGAATAATGAAGTTGTTGTTCTACTCCTGGTGAACTAGCCTGACTTGTACTACTTGGTGTTCGAGAATGCCTGGATCCATAATCTGAAGAAACAAAGACTTGTCAATGTAAATTTTATCATTGTATCAATTTATATTTGATTGAAATTCAGAATAAAAATAGTCTGTGTGAAGAAACTGATAATAAAAAAAATACTGTCTTTTTGGAAGTTGCTTCAATGGTTCAGAAATATTTAAAATGTTTTCAACTTGTTTTACACATCCCTTAGCATTGATCTATTCATTATATTTATTGCACAGAGTAGTGGCAAATGTATATGACACATTTACTATAAACTTCCCTTTTCCTTATTTTAGTCATCCTTGTAAATATCAAAACTTCAATCTAAGTAAAAATACCAAGCAGCTGAGCCATTGAAAAAAAAATAACACTATACTATAACAATATAACACATACCTGATAGCTTTGATTGCTGACTTGTAGAACTTGCATTTCTGGAATGTCCAGGTTCAAAAACCTCTAAACAACAGAATCGTAAAATGAGAAATGATGATATTACAGTGCTGAGTGTTCAAGTATAGTTTGAGCAAATTTGAAATAGCAATGGTTGAAATTGAAGTTCCATTAGAAATTGAAAATTGAAATGATCACTTCATCACATATCCAGAAAATACACAACATAACAGCATAATGCAGAGAAGCATGTACTGAACTTTCGTTATATAATAGAATCCTAATCTAGATTTTATTACGTACTCATTGTGCAACAATTCAGGAAAGTTATTTTTATATCACTATTAAATTCCACTGTGTAAAGAGTTAAATTTAATGATAAAACATTATATCAATTGTCTTGGTGATTAAAATCATTTTTAAATATTTTGAACAATTTATGAAAAAACTTAATTATTCTGACATATCACATCTCAATAAATTCTTCATAAAAGCAGCCAAAAATCAGGCGCAAAAAGTATCACTTGTAATATGCAAGTCCAAAACACTGCCAAGTGCCAATGAAAGCAAATGCAAGTTTATTACCTTGATGTCGGCCATGATGTCCTTTCGCAATTTTTCTTGGTAAACTACCAAAACCACTACTCTCACTCCCATCCCGTACATGTTCTCTTTGACTGAGATCTTCAGGGAGGGGTAGCGGTATATCTCGTACTGTGGGTCTGAAGACAAAATGAATTCATTTGGAAACGATCAATTGTGCAGCAAACTTTGTATTTGTAAAACATTATTGGACAGACTGCTATAGTATCAGGGATTATTTTATTCTATTTGAAAACCGTTATTTGAAAATGGTATAAAAAATCTATATCCTCATGGTGGAGAGAATACTAAAATTGTTGTATAATCAGAAATGCTTTATAAAAAATAATGAGTTTGTCTGAAGTAAATATAATATGGTATTTAAAATCACAGCATTCTTGAATAGAATAGAAATAAGTCTCATGCCAGATTTTACACCCTTTCATCAATTCATAATATTACCAACCAAAATAAATTTTGATGAAGAATTTTGGATTGGCAAGTCTTGAAATATGTTTGTCACAGGAATTATAAGAATATTCCAAAACGTTCATCTCTATATAATTATAGTATAACATCACATGAGCGCATGAACATGTACTAAAATATAAATATCTTCACTCGTTGTCGCAACAATCAAGTGAAAAATAGTAACATCAATTAACAGGAAGACAAGTGACAAGTAGGCCATTTCTAAGCACTCGGTGATCGATGACGTTGCTAATTATAACTTGAATTCTAGAAAATATATGATTGCATTTTGATTTCTATGACAAAAGACGTGAACAAGTATATCACGTTTGTTTTCGGAACTGAATAAATAATGCTATCGAGAAAATGAAAATTGTCTTGCCACAGTCAATTTATAATTCTGTATTACAATTTATAGAAGTAGCCTACTACTTACATTTTGAAACATGGATCCCCAGAAAGCAGATGCATACCAACAATTACCTGAAATAACAATGAGAAATTATGTTAGTTTGTCAAATATCTTCCCATGAAACTGTATTTACAATGTTTTGATTTTGAATTCAAATTAGGGTTTTAGGCTATGAAGTAATATGGGAATATTTTGTAATATCTTCATAAACATTGAGGTTAATTTTCAACAAGTTTAGCGAGTTATAATTTCATACACCGGTATTATTAATACGTGTATAGCCCCAGGTTACAGGGCTGTTGTAGTGATTTAAATACCGCCACTCATTTTACATATTTCTGTCCATGTGACTGATTTATTCCACTCTGTGTAGACCAAAATTGTTGGAATGTAGGCCTATGTATGTGGAACTTTTTAACAGTTATTGGCATATCAGAAATTGTTTTATAACAGGTTCTTCGTGGCAAATTATGTTAATATACCAATAAATATAAAGAGAATGTAATTCACAACTTTAAATAATAGCAATAACAATGTCTACATTTTTATATCATTCTAGTCCTTTTATTGCTACATATCGTAAAATCGCAAAACTGATTTATATTGTGTTTAGAGAAATTTCAGATTAGAAACTTTTAACTGATATTTTAGAACAATCCCACTGTTTATCTAAAATATAAAGTAACTCCATAAATTGCAAAAAAAGAAAATATGGTCTGCAAATCCCCAACAATTAAACATAAATTTTTGTTTCATGTCGTTTGTAATATGTAATTTGATTTTTAATGTTTAGTGCAAACAAAAATTCTTTGAATTTTTCTGAGGATACTTTTGCACAACCCTTGCAAACACGATTCATACATATGCAGCGAAACACCGCAACGATATTAAAGGTTGAACAATTTCCTTCCTATTGGAAAATAGAAAAATCATCAATAGCAATACAGTGGATGATTCATGGCAACATCTTAGTTAGAATTAGTATTACACTCAATACATGGAAATATATTTTTAGAATTTATACCAAACAATGATTACAAAAATGATCATTCAGACCCAGAAAGCCGATAACCAACACAAAATGTCACCACAGTCAACCACGTCAACCAGATGTAGAAGATATTCATTTTTACTAGACCGTGTGGTATGTACATATGCAAAATTTATGGTTTTGTTCATAGAAAAGAATTTACTATTCTATAATAAGATGACTATAAGGTTTCCATGGTAAATCAGACCGTAAAATTGAGGAGTGCTTATGAAAGGAATGAGAAAGTCACATCTCAATTAAACCAGGAGAAGTTTCAACACTGAGGAATATCTTTGGTATTGATGACCATTGAACCAAAATGAACTAACCCTTCAATATTTATTCAATTATTATATTTCTTTATCCAAAAAACTATCCTTATTTATTAAATGAGCTCCAATAAGCGTGGTCCACAAATAAACTTTACTTCAATAATATCATTCCCTATTTAAAAATAAATAAATCAAGCCTAATCTGGTGACAAAAGAAGTAAAGAGAAAAGTACGCCTACACGACAAGACTATCCTCACAGGTGTTTCAAACATGATGTAACCACACTATTGAAATGAGGCTGTCATGTAGGTACTCTCGTAGTACGTGCACAAGATTGGGGTTAGGCCAAAATTTTATTCCGATTTTTCTTATTTTAATTCTATTACGAGTTCGAGAACTGTTTGTGTAGCCAAGTGAATATACCCCCTGCCCATACGCTTCTGTCCCCTTACACAACTTGATGTGAAATAGGCGAACAAAATTAGTTACCTCCATATTGGTACACATACTTTTGGAGTGCCTTCATGTATGTGTAGTTTAGTATAAATGCATAATCCATGTAAGATTGTGCAACAGTGTTAACTCTAAGCAAATTATGAGTGCGAAAGTGCTTCGCAGTCTAAAAAAAAAAGTGCGAAAGTGCTTTTGCCGATTTTAACAAGTTAGGTGCCCTAGCCTTTCATATAACCCATTTAAAACGGCATAGATACTCGAAAAAGCGCTCCTCCGGTTAATATTATGAATTAAAGAGACGCCTTTTCGTTAACCGAGTTCCCTTTAAGCGAATTCATGTTTAATTAAAACAAGCGAATTCATCGGCAACGAAATGACATCTGCTAACACCTGCCGCGGACAAAACTTTCATGCAATGTATCACGGTGTCAGTTGCTTACTCGCGTAAACAGCAAAGACTTTCACATTTATTGCTCCTTCCATCTAACAGACACGCGGCCGGCTGGAAACCATATTAGTTACAGGGTGGACCGTTTGTACAAATCCGGTGCAAAATACCCCCCCCCCAAATATAAATAGCAATCAACTAATTAGGGTTAGGTGCGCTGGAAATTTTTCGATTCATCCCTAAACCTAATCTGATAATTATTGATTTGTGATTTTGAACCACTTTGAAAGTCGCCACCCGCTGTTTTAAAAGATAGGTTAACCTACGTTCCCTCCGAAATATTATGCAGGATACTCCCCTGTTTTAGGGGATAGGTTGACCTACTTTCCTTTCAAACTTTTTTCTCCGAAATATTACACAAGATCACTTTGAAAATCCTCCCGTTTCGTGAGCTAGCGTGACCTAATTTCTCATTTACATTTATATTATACTATTTCAGAGCTTACCCAAAGACAAGTAATTTTTAAATGTCCACATGCCTTGGTTTGCGTGCGAGTTAGTTTAAATCGGGCAGAAAACATCATATATTGGCAAAATGTTTAGTAATGTCATGTACTTTCAGCATTCATAAATAGCACTCTTTGTAATGCTGCTGACCTAGTATCAAATATTCGCATCACAACGCCACTTGCGAGGTTTCCATATATTTCAATTACACTAATAGGAACGATGACATCAAAGAGTTTTCTTTTGCGAAGGTACACTAAATATACCGAGGGTGATCCCTGAGAAAAACATGAATATAAAAATAAACGAATGATATGATAATGGATCCCAAATAATTTTGAGAGTGTCTCGAAATACCAATTCATTTGATAAATAATTTTTATTCGACCACATGAACGCTGATATCCTGAAAATTAATGTTGAAAGAGAATTACGCATTCTCAGATATCGGACATCCAGTCGCGATATTCAATCGTTCATATGCACAAATCTCACATTATTAGTAATTGCTACCCAAGTTTGTAAAGTTTGGAAACCAACAAACAGAAAATAACTAACCTAAAACACAATTAAAATTCAGTCGGCAATAAATTCGTCGCCAAGACGATGCCATACAAAACAAAAAATATTTGGTCGCGCGAGAGTTACGTGAAATGACTGCCGTTGTTTTTTAAGCAGAATGTAAAAAAATTTATAATTAATAAACGGGAGTTACGACGCCCTTTACACATCGTGAGTATTAAACTTCCCTGGTAAGTACTTTGGTAAGTACTATTATTATTGTACCTATACACCTGTTGGAGTATTTCGGACAATTTCGAATTTAAAATAAATGAAAACCAGACATATAATAAAGACGCAAAAGTAAAATGAACATTTATTGAAAAAGTTATTATTTAAGAAAGACAACATGATCGTACAATTCCGCCAAAACCTCGATGTTCGCAAGTGAGATGATAAATAAATACTTCCCTGTATTCGATCAATTAACTTTAGCGTATCGTTGTTCTGCCAACAAACAGCCGGGTGCAAAATATTTCCGTCCTGTGATATGCTCACATATATTCTCGATATTAATATCATACCCTCGAGTATGTACTTTCTATTAGCTCTGTAGTGATCCCTTCCATCCTTGGCCAAGTCATGTTTCGAATATGTGAACATTTTATTCGACCATACGTGGCCGCGGGATGTTAAAATTGTAAACAAGAGAGAGGTAAAATCAATCGCGAATTTCGTTATAACGTCTCGTTTACGAATTGTTGCGCCTGTTATCGTCGAAAATGATTACATTTGTTGTATTTTGAGGCATTTAAGCAGTAATAATTAGGGCATGAAATCATCAAAATAGTCAAGTGAGATCTTGAAATTGCAAATTCCGTAAATAAAATTGTGAATTATTCGGTAACGAAATCAGCTTTAATAACCGTCGGGGTATTGTTTTGTTGAAAATTATTATCAATGTGAGAGCGCCAAAAACATACAGTCCATACCGATGCGACTGCAATTTATATGGTCGCAATTGGTCTGGCGCGTTTATTAATAGTGTAAAATAAATTAAACGAATATCAATTATAACCAAGCCTGTCAGCGTGTTTATTTTCTGTTGGCAGGAATCGTAAAATACCATCTTGAGACAAATTCACTTCTATTATAAAATCTTAATTTTCAGTTATTATCGTTATACAAATAACATATGACAACTTTTTAATTTATCGTCGATCAAAAAACCGCCCCACACTCGTCCAAACGTGTGTCCAGCTTGAACGACAGGAACAGATTCATCGACGACCTTAATTAGGGAAAATATGTATTTTATTGGGAATGCAAAATAAATGTAACCAAACGCATTTTTTTGTGATATAACTTGGTATTTTCGGAAACGGGTTGCCGTGAAAGGTAAAATTTGATCTAAATTTATCGCAAAAATGTTTTATTTTAAATGTAACAAAACACATTTTGCGATATAACCTTGTATTTTCGAAAACGGGTGTCCTGAAAAGTAAAATATGATCTAAATTAACCGCAAAAATGTTTTATTTTAAAAGTAACAAAACACATTTTCGCGATATAACCTTGTATTTTCGGAAACGGGTGTCCTGAAAAGTAAAATATGATCTAAATTAATCGCAAAAATGTTTTATTTTAAAAGTAACATAACACATTTTTCGAGATACAACTGTATTTTCGGATACCGGGTGTCACGAAGAGTAAAATATGATCTGAATTAACCGTAAATAATGATTCATTCCAAATGTATCATAACGCATTTTTTGCGATATAACTTTGTATTTTCGAAAACGGGGCGTCACGAAAATTATTAATCTAATGTTTTATCTATCGTCTAACTAACGCCTGGAACACATCATTTCCGGGGAGAACTCTAGCCCGCGAAACGTCATTTAATTTAAAATAGAGAATGTTTCACCCATTTCAAAACGGAAAATCACCAGTAAGTGGACAGGGATTCAACCTTCCGGATTCAGTATTCTATATCCCCCGTGTCAGAACTTTCTGAAGATTGGAACAAAGAACCCGTCAAACCGCCGCGGAAGAAGGGGAGTATTTTTTGCACTAATAATTAGGGCGTGACAATATCAAAATCGTCAAGAAACTGGTGAATTTGCAAATTCCATAAATAAAATTGTGAATTGCTCGGTAACATTTTAGCTATAATTATCGCCGGGGTATTGTTTTGTTGAAAACAGTTGAAACCTGAGGGAATTAGTTACAATTAGCGCCTGACCTCTATTAGGCACTCCAGCATTCGAAAAAAAAGCACTCGAGCCCAATCTTTTTAGCATTAAGTCGCATACGTAAAATATCCTGTAAAAGAAGTGCTGTTCATTAACGTCATCTCGTCTTATGACCACGCAGAAATGCCTTTATTGCCGAATTATTCAATCACTATTCTAAATCAACATTCAGGATTGGCACAATTTCAGATTTGCAAAGTTTATCACCATAGAAATACATGAGAAAGTTAATTATCGTCTTAATGAATATCTGCATCACGGTATGGACAATAATATTACCATTCGCATAAAATTGGGACGGTAAATATACAAATCTTGATAGGTAATATTAAAGCCAACGCAAATGTTAATTTGAGTCCTCAATGTCTTCAACAGCTGTTGCCGATGTGAACGAACCGGTAAACCCGAAATATAAAACTTCGATGTCCGCCAACCCACAAGAATTCATATTTGTAAAAAAGAGAGGGCGGGAATATAGATTACCCAAAACCTGGATATCGCCGCCAAAACGATCGGTGACAAGAACAATTAGCGATTACAAGGCTTTGTTGCCGATTTTTTAATGTTTCCACCACGTTTATTCGGTACTCCTTAAAAATATTCGATTCAAAAAAATATTGAATTTTGCCCACCCGTCCTCGCATATCAATGAGAAATAGTTGTGTAAATATTGCAAAATTACGGAAAATGCCACTCCTTTCAACATTGTGATTACAATAAAATGGTATTTTGTGAATTTGGTGATTTTGCAAATCTGTGACATGCTGCTAAAAGTTTCGTCTGATTTGAAAATCGTGCAGTTTGGTCAGAATTCATCCAAAGTGACTATAACACATAACACTTTTATAGTCATTTTGAATTCATTGATATCATTGATAGTCACATGACCACTCTCTTCAAAGAAACGCACTGCGTATTATTCCAACATCTGGTTTCAATCACCCGGGAGCGTTTTTTGCGGGAGAAGCGGAATCGGTGTGCTTGTATAATAATCATATTATAAACAAGAATTTTGCCGTTTATGCAAAAGCTTTATCCCCTATGTCTGCATCTCATAGGTTAGAATTCCGGTAAATATCGTTATGATATGCAGAATTGAGTTACAAAAGTACTAGTATGTTACTTATTTGTCAACTTAATACTCGAAAATATTTGTTAACTTTGAATTTTTATTCCATTCAAAATCGGAAAAAAGTGCTATTTCTCTTCAAAAGCGGAAAAAAGTGCTATTTCGCAGTCCCTAAAAAAAGTTGCGAAAATGCTTCGCAATTTTCGCAAAAAAGTGCGCTAATAGTGAACACTGTTGTGCAATGAAACTTTTCAGGATAAAATGTATGTTACCTTCAACAATGAGTTATCTAATCTGTTTTTATCTTGATAAGCTTCTAATAAGCAGTGACGTGGTGTGTGATTTGAGCCGGCAAATTCCGCAAGATTCAAGTCGACGAGACCAACCTGAAGAAAATTTAACATAACTGCTGTAAAATGTGGCAGCAAATTCAGATTACAACCAGTTTTATAAACATATTCAAAAAACATATTATCAACATAATTAAGGGCGGAATAGATAGATTATATAAAATAACAGTTTTCAAAATTGTCAATCAAAAAAATCAATTAACATTTATATATTTATACATTTATTGTATAAATGATATTTAAAAATAAATGTGATGACATTTTTAAATAGAAATGCAGCAATTTACTCATTAATATATCAATATTTCAGCAGTCACAAAATAGCAAGAAAAATGATAACAGTACCAATTTTGCTTATATATCTGTGATGTATAAATTTGAAAACTTTCTCATTAAGTAAGATTTAAGAGTAATCACTAATCATATTACATTTTGAATTCCTTCCAGACTCATTTTTTCTGTCATTTGTAACCTTGTACCAATAAATCAAATCGAGACAAAACATTCTTTTCTCATATAATAACAAAAGAAGTATAACATCTTTTGAAGTCTATTGTAACTAGGCCTATTCATTGTGTATGTAACAGGATACCAGATTGTTCAGAGTCGGAAGCAAACCCCGCCGACTTAAGTACCGGTGTTTATAACAATACAACATACCTTTGCAGATGCTTTGCCGCCTTTCAACTCCTGGAAAAAATAAATAAACTTTGGAATATGCAAAGATTTTATTTTCCATTAGCACTGAAAGTTTATTTAGTAGTAACAAAATAAGAAATTTATGCTAATGAAAAATCTTTTTCAAAATGCTATTTAACATTACTCAGAACAGTTTTAAAATTAATTGTTAATTTAAAATTAACTATTGACACAGACTAAGCAAATATCATCATGATAAAGTTCAAAAGTGACATATTTGAAAATAGTTAGTTTGATAAATAAATATATTTATTATTTGAATCAAACTCTTTTCATCAATTTTCAACCGGTTATATCAGTGGTTCTTAACCTTTTTCTGACTGCGTACCACTTTACTGTTTTTTTACTCTGGCCGCGTACCACTGGAAAAGCCATTTTTGGCGCGGCGAACAATGGCAAAAGACACAAGCTATGAGAGTATTTTATAATGTGGCTCTACATTCTCAGTGACCTAATTCGCAAAACGGACGAAAACATGCCCATCTCGATTCGTTCGTGGATAATAGCAGGCGAGCGCGATCTCTAAAGACTGGACTGGCCCATAAAACATTTCTCCAACCCCTGACCCCAGAAAAATTCTTCCTATACTTTACTACTGAAAAAAAAAAATTTACTTATTTTGAGAGTGTTTTGATGTGTTGGTGCTTATTATAAGCTGGTTTACATGTTTGAAACCCTCATTTTTATTAAAATCAACCAATCATGTGCCGCTTACAGGCACTGATAGCTTAGTTTAGATTAGTCTATCTCAGAATTTACGAGACTCATTTTTGATTACAGCAACTAAATTAATGCTCCTTTGAAGACATAATGACAACTAAGATATTTGATTCACAACTATTTTTTTGAAACGCAACTGAAAACTGACAAATAACACACAAAACTACAAAATCGAGGCAATGTTTACTGATTGTTGCTGTTTACGGAAATAAACAAGGAAATTAATTCCCGGGGAAACATTCATAAAGGCCGTTCAGCGAATACAATCAGTATGGAAGATAAAGCGTTGTCGGCATATTTTGGCCAACTCAAAATTAATTGTTGCAATAATTCGAAGCTGCTCTCGTATCATTTGGTCATTCAGGTTGAGAACCACTGGGTTATATTATACTTGACTTGATACTATGATTTCTTCGCCTCTATCATCTTAATATTTAAATAATTTAAGGAAATGTAGTGTTCTGTGCATTGGTAAGTGCATTAATCTTTTATTTATCTTAAAATGAACCTTTTAAGACTTGGATAAAAAAAATTGCACTCACTTTTCTGACGGATATTCGTAATGTACATGATTCCAATACTCCGGTTGTTGGATCTGCTGACATTTTACATTGAAATTGAAATTTGCTTTTCCATGTGACACTGTGATCTTGCACATCAGCTCTGTATTGTAAGAAAAAAAATCATGTAATGATATAAAAAAGATATATCGCATATAGTAAATTTTGGGGTGAATAATGAATTTAGGGAATTTTTCTCCATGAAATTTATCAATATTTTCTCAATAAATCTGTATTTATATCATCAAATATTTCCAATATCGTTAATCTAGAATAGGCTATTTTGAAATCAAAATAAATAGGCTAGTAAAAAATTCAACAAATGGCCATCCATGGTTAGAGAATATCAAAAAATAAACTATGAATGATTTTGTCCCTCTGTCAGATGTCACCAAAACAATGACTAAAGGGATGACTAAGCATATTTACAATTTTCATAGCAAAATTTCAAATATTTTAATTAAACGTTACCTGGTAACCAACTTATAATTTGTAACTAAGTACAAACGAATGATTTTTTTGTTTGACAGGTTTTAACAAGCTGAATCATTCATCAGGTGAATAGTATTGGGTGAAAGGTACCAACTGACTAATTTTGGGTAATTAGTGATTTCCAATAATAAATCATTAGGATTAACTGTGTTCAATTGGAAGACAAAGCATACTAAGATGAGGTGAATATATAAATATTTAAAGAAATATTTTAGAATTTAAAACATCTGAATGATGATATTCATACAAGAATTGAAAAAAAACATTGAGTACCCTATGTATCATTTAAGCACTTGAAAACTTCATATATCGGCATTACTTCTACTTTTAGTCAAACTTGATATTGTTGGAGTATAACCAGATAGTATATTACAAATACTTGCAGCGGAAGTAGATTTATTAACATACCAATTGAAATTTGGATAAAATAGTAAAAACAGTGATTTGATGAAATGCCCTGCAGTCAAATTATTTTCTTTGTTATTGGGTCTTAATTATTTTTAAGCAATAATTAAGCTATCCATGTGCCATGCTACAAACGTTATTTTGAATGTAAGTTACAACATGCTGTACTAAAATTAGACTTTAAGTTATAAATTTAGAGTAGAAACAATCATGCTTTTTGTGCTATATATAAATCTAATTTTAATCAATGTACCTATATCATAACCAAACTTAATTACATGTGTAAATTCACCTAATATTCAGTTAATAAACAATGACGAATATTATTATATTGCTAATGTTAGTTTATGGTTTCAGAGCAAAATTCCCCTCCACATGTTTGAAAATGAGATAATCAAAACAGTTTTGTTTTACTAAAATCAGAAAAATTTAATTCCAACAATAAAAAATCATTATTTTCAACATTAACAAAACTGCTACATTATAAACTTGTATGAAAACAAATCTGTATGTTGGAATGGGCTTGAAAAAAGGGGCTGCTTCTTTCGAAAACGTGTATGTACTAATAGTTGTATTAATCTAGACATGAGGGGCACTTTTATGACTAATAAATCATGTAATACTGCCGATACTCAAGCTTAAATGAATTATATAGCCAGAAGCAAGTTTTGTTCAGCCTTTATTAAAATTATCAGAGATGTTTACATAAAATTTGACCAGCTTTAAATCAAACACCCTTGCGAAGGGCAAGCCTACTTTTCTAAAGTCCTTGAAGCTTGTTAAAGTATTTGATCAATATTATTGACATATCAAAATGCTCTGGCATGTAAGGGACAACTCATAATTGAGAAAGTAGTCAAAGCACGAGACTGAAACCACAGTTTCAATAAGCCATTCATGTTTATCACGGGTCATCCGATGTTTTTGAATTATGAAATAAATGATAGTATACATTCAAAACCAAAACCATTGATTTTTGTTATAGCAACTATTAATTATTGTTATCAGTAAGAATTCATCATAATAAAAATATTGCATCTGATATTCAGATATAAAATATATATTATTCAACTTTGTACATTTTTGACTGTATTCAGTTGTAAATTATTTGATTTTGGGGATTACCATAATTTTTGTTGATCCAAACAATCCACTTCAAATTCAATACAATATATACAGAATTACATAGACCCTGTAAAAATGTCAATAATTTCGGTATAAGTGTTGGAAATTTTTGACTTTTTGTAACAGATAAAATAAAATCTCAACCAAGGTAATATTTGCATAAAAAAAATATTATTATTATACTTTTTACTTTTTACATACCTCTTTGTATTGTCTGTGAAACTTCCACCATCTCTCAGCCTGACTTTGCAATATATTGTTCCAGTGACAAATGGAACTGAACATAATTCTTCGAGATGTAGCGTCACCTATCATACATAATGAATAGTATAAATCACAAAAATATCACGTAATAAAATTTATTCAAATAAAATACATTGCAATTTTTCAACGGCTTCAATGTTCAGAAAATCAACACAAACATTTCAGAAATTTTTAGAAAATGAATTATAATGCACTTTAAAACTAAGAACTAATAGAATAATTTTGAATAATAATGAAAATGGCAAATTTAAAGAAATCTTGAACTTGTTTATGTATCGATAGTCATGTTTAGTCAGGTATATTTGATTTTTGTACGATTTTTCTACAACAAGAGTAAGGCTATATAAAGGTGAAATCATTGAATAACGCAATATGTTCATATTTAGGAAGACAATCTGGTGAATAACATACCCGTACGGAAAACAGAATATTTACAATATTTACAATGTGTCCGTCAGCATAGATTAGGTAATTATATAAATAGATTTGGAATGAATGATGAGTAAAGCAAACAGTTAAATGGGAATTTCCTTTTCCTGATTTAATTTAGCATGATCGAATAGCGAGATACAGGTCAAATGTCAGTACCCGTACAGGTAAGCAATCAAATCTAACAAACAATTTGATGGGATTAACATTATACAATATTTGTTTCCATGTTGGACAATTGGCATGCTTGTTTTATCTTGACATAAAGTGGTGAGGAGAATACACTTACACAGTTTAAGACAATAGCCGAAATATATAGGTTCAATGCAATAAATTTTATAAAGTTGGACCTATACAGTAATAACAATGCCAACTAGACTTATTATTCAAGTCATTTCGGGCATGCATATTCCATATTGAATCAATATCAAACATTGGCTTATACACTTTTCTCACTTTTAAACATCTGAGCTGTAACATTATGTTAGAGTACATAAAAAACTACTTCTAAATACAACATGGTCATCATAAACCTTATGTCAATATTGAAAAGAACATTGCACCACGATTCTAAACCACATGATGTAACAAGAACCTATTGTATTCGGAATCCAATAAAATACATCATTAAATAGCTGCAATTTTACTGCATTAAATGATAAACTGCCATAAAAATTTTTTATCATTGATTAGGATCCGTTCAATAAGAGAGGATTCCTTTGTTCAACACACAAAGATAGATCCATTACTATATTTCTTCTACAGCAAAAGTCATTTACAGTACCGTAAATAGAATTTGCTTAGCACACAATGATGCACAACAACAAATTGGTTAAATGATGAAAATAATATGCTGATATATAAGAACATTAACAAATCTTTTACCTGAAACTTATATCGTTTTTTTGTCATTCTCATTGGCCTCAAAAAGCTCATAATATTCCAACTTAGCTTAAAAGTGTGATGAAAGATCTTCTTATGACAGGTTCAAGTGTTTAATTATGGTAAAAAGATAGGGATGTAAAAATAACTTGAACTTCACAGTACAAAAATGAACCACATCAACTGCATGTCATGATTACTCTGTTAGTGTTATAGATGTGGAACCAGGACTTGAGCGTTCTAAATAAAAAAAAAATGATTATGATTATGTCCCTTGATAAGACTTTGCTTCTTATATATAAATTATTTCCAGTAGTTCCATTAATTCAATGAAAGAGCCAAAATGAACTGAATGAAAATGAAAGAATAAACCATAGATCAGATGAGCAATAATTTGATGCATGAGTAAAGTTCATTTGGTAATTTCTCATAGACCTTACGACATGATGAAGGGAGAAAGTAGAGTCAACAAAAATGAACATGTGGCCTAACATCAGAACATGGATGCATGAGAAATGAATGATAATATCTAACTTATATATCAAATGTATTGTTGTGATCTCTATAGACAACCATGCGCCTATCAGCTACATGACCTTTAGACCTTTGTCTGCTTGTGGCATCTATCAAATAAATACAACTTGTGACAGTATGACTAACCAATCTAAAATAAAGCATATAGCCTATGATGATATTTCTCACACATTATCGTCCACTTATCCCTCGTAGCTCTGCGAAATTACACCAAAATGTGGCCACAAACAAAAAAGTTACGACCGAAAACCCAACCGAAGAAAAAAACAAACAATATTTTCATGTCATCAACTACAGAACTAACCATTGTCTCTTTAAAAAAGCTTGAAAATCCATACAAATATAAGAGATAAAAAGATGGAACTTGACAGATGGGTAGAGTTGTGTTTCTTTTAATCATCTTTAAAGTTTCGCGTCTCTACATTTAAAAGAGGGGGAATACGGGGGTGCGCATTTCCAATACGTCGATAATATCTTTGTTGACCAATTTGCGACCACCGTGTTTTTGTCAGTTTGATTGCTGTGATGCGGTGCTTTGGTCATAATTTGACGAGTTTTGTTCGAAATAACCGTGTTCTTAAAATATGAGTGGAAGTGGTGACTTCTCTACAGCCCATGGGCCGGGACCACGGCCCATCGAATTGGGCCTCGGCCAATTTAGCTATGGGCAGCGGTCCATCAAGTTGTGCAAAGGGACTATTCACTTGGCTAACACAGACAGTCCCCGAACTCATAATAGAACCGTAAATATATACTACTACGATAGAACTATAATATCAAAAATCTGAACAGAATTTTGTCCTAACCCTAACCTGGTACACATACTACAGGAGTATCCTTTTCTGTAGCTTAGTATTTTGCTTAATTTTGATATAAATGAGTATCATAAGAAAAAAATTTGGTGGCATACCGCGATTTGTTTTTTGATTCGAATATTGACGATTTTGTAAAAATTGCAAATTTTGATAAGGTAATTGTATTTTTCCTGATGGGGCCGCGGCCCATAGCCTGATGGGCCACGTCCCATGTGGCCCAATTAGATGGGCCGTGGCCCCGGCCCATGGGCCGTAGAGGAGTCACCACCCCTGTAGTAAAATATATGACAGCCAGAATTGCAATTAGAAGCCCAATTTTTTCAGGAATGGCTGCGTATGCTTGATTCTTGACGCAGCAGAAACGATGTTCAAGGCTTGAAATCCGTGGTCGCACACCGGTCGTTCGGTCGCAAATACGTCTTCCGAGTGTCGTACTTTGGTGGCTTGTATAGCTTTAACCCCTGGTCGCAGAAAGTTAATTCGAAGTTTAGCGTGCAGAATAAATGACAATGCACCTACGGCAGTACGGTGGAAAAATTAACGGGTTAGAAATATTGGTTTTTGTTCTATAGCGATTTGAATGAAATCATCCGCAGACTGGTTACACCACCCTATAATATATGCAAAACACAGAAACAACTGTTACAGTGTTAATCTCACAGTCCTGCAGTCTCAAAACACTTAATCCATCTAACTGTACTCTTCTTCTACAGTTCTATGTTTGCCTGCAGAGAGAAGTCTGCCAATCTTGCAACTTGAGTAAAATCAAGTACTGTAACTAGAATGTACTTTGGCAATTTGGGGAATTTGAAAGCCAATCATACTAAACATACAGACATATCAACCTACAGACCTAACAACCTTGCCATCTTATACAGTTATAGCAGTATAGTCTAAATTAAGCCAATTTGTTGTTTGCCCGCTGTACAGCTGTATGTATGTGGAACTTGTGGAAGTGAAACTGTGGTACAGTGGTATCGATGGTGAAACACTAACATCTGAACATTCAGACATTTGCAACTTGAGTAAAATCAAGTTATTTTAGTATTTCGCAGCTGACATATAACAGTAGAATGTTCTTTGGGGAATTTGACAGATACCGTAATCTTACTAAACCTATGAACCCACAGACCTAATGCAACGTAACAACCTTGCTATCTTATAGTCTAAATTAAGCCAACTTGTTGTTCGCCTGCTGTACAGCTGTATGAAACTGTGGTATCGTCGTATCGATGATGAAACATTAACATTTGCAACTTGAGTAAAATCAAGTTATTTTAATATTTCGCAGCTGACATAGAACAGTGGATAGATAGATAGTTTATTTTGAAAACTCCACAATATGAACACACAAAAAAAATTAAAAATGGAGAATTTCGGAGAGCGAGCAAAACCTTTAAAAAAGTTTAAAACATGAGTATCATGTGCCCGTATCATGTTCTTTGGGGAATTTGACAGATACAGTAATCTTACTAAACCTATGAACCCACAGACCTAATGCAACGCAACAACCTTGCCATCTTATAGTCTAAACTCTAAATTAACCCAACTTGTTGTCCGCCTGCTGTATTTGAAACCGTGGTATCGATGTGAAACACCTCTGGGAAGCTAGCAGCAAAACACGAAATTGAGACTGACAGAATTGAAGAAAATACCCACGCGTAAAATTGAATGTTCCCAATGATTTGTCTTGTTAAAATATGGTAAACAATCATAAATAAAGACATGCCGGATTAAAGGAAGCAAAGAAACGCAGGAGGGACGGTTTTAAAATTTCAAATAAAAGATAAATGGATTTTCATCAAAAACTTAAAAATATGTCAATTTTTCAATTGAATTTTGGTATTCTGACGCAAAATTGACGTAACACGCATATGACGATTTTGGTGATTTTCACCAGCAGCATGTTGTCCGATCAAGAGGGGGCTGAGTTTATTCAAAATGAGTAAATGTTGTTAAAGATTGTAAGCGAAGAAAATTAATGTTATCAAAATGTTGTAATTTTTAACATTATTTTGAATTGAAAATATTATCTTTAAATCTATAAGCCAAGTCGAATGAATTTCAGCGGGTTTCTTAAAATTCTCCTCATAGTAAAAAATAGGATGGATATGAAATATTGAAACAAAATGGCGATCACATCTCAGGAAGAAATTTAGGCAAAAAAAAACAAAATATCGGATTAGATACGTAGGTCGTAGTGAACTAAATAGAAAGTGATGTTTGAGATGTGAAATGATCAAATTGGATTGTAAAGTATTACTTTGAAAGCTGTAATAATAGGAAATTGAATCACTGAATGAATTAACTGGTTATTGTTCCATTGAATACTTGAAATTGATTTTGTATCAATTCTACATCAAACAAATCAAACTTATACTTTTCTAAAACATACATGGATCATTGAAAATATTTACAAAGAAATTAGCACAAATTTTTTTTTATGGTTTTTAATTTTTTTATTTTTTTAGTGAAATTTTTTAACTCAATCGAAAAATTCAAACGTTTATAAGTTTTTGTTGAAATTCATTCGACTTTGCTTACAATCTATATGACTATATTTTTAATTTAAAATAATAAAATCAACCGCCTCTTGACCGGAACAACTTGCTGCTGGACTTTGAAAATCACCAAAATTGCTAAATACGAGTTACGTCAATTTTGCGTCAGATTAACTCAATCGAAAAATTCAAACGTTTATAAGTTTTTGTTGAAATTCATTCGACTTTGCTTACAATCTATATGACTATATCTTTAATTTAAAATAATAAAATCAACCGCCTCTTGACCGGAACAACTTGCTGATGGGCTTTGAAAATCACCAAAATCGCTAAATACGAGTTTCGTCAATTTTGCGTCAGATTATCAAAACTCAATCGAAAAATTCAAAAGTTTATAAGTTTTTGTTGAAATTCATTCGACTTTGCTTACAATCTATATGACTATATATTCAATTTAAAATAATAAAATCAACCGCCTCTTGACCGGAACAACTTGCTGCTGGACTTTGAAAATCACCAAAATTGCTAAATACGAGTTACGTCAATTTTGCGTCAGATTATCAAAACTCAATCGAAAAATTCAAAAGTTTATAAGTTTTTGTTGAAATTCATTCGACTTTGCTTACAATCTATATAACTATATCTTTAATTTAAAATAATAAAATCAACCGCCTCTTGACCGGAACAACTTGCTGATGGGCTTTGAAAATCACCAAAATCGCTAAATACGAGTTACGTCAATTTTGCGTCAGATTATCAAAACTCAATCGAAAAATTCAAAAGTTTATAAGTTTTTGTTGAAATTCATTCGACTTTGCTTACAATCTATATGACTATATATTCAATTTAAAATAATAAAATCAACCGCCTCTTGACCGGAACAACATGCTGATCGGCTTTGAAAATCATCCAAATCGCTAAATACGAGTTACGGCAATTTTGCGTCAGATTATCGAAACTCAATCGAAAAATCCAAACGTTTATAAGTTTTTGTTGAAATTCATTCGACTTTGCTTACAATCTATATGACTATATCTTTAATTTAAAATAATAAAATCAACCGCCTCTTGACCGGAACAACTTGCTGCTGGACTTTGAAAATCACCAAAATTGCTAAATACGAGTTACGTCAATTTTGCGTCAGATTAACTCAATCGAAAAATTCAAAAGTTTATAAGTTTTTGTTGAAATTCATTCGACTTTGCTTACAATCTATATGACTATATCTTTAATTTAAAATAATAAAATCAACCGCCTCTTGACCGGAACAACTTGCTGATGGGCTTTGAAAATCACCAAAATCGCTAAATACGAGTTTCGTCAATTTTGCGTCAGATTATCAAAACTCATTCGAAAAATTCAAAAGTTTATAAGTTTTTGTTGAAATTCATTCGACT